CCCCAAAATACACAAAATATGACAGCCTTAGCAATAATTTCCCCTATATTGAGGCCATGTTATTATCATGGGAAATGTTGTCCAAAGATAGTCCTCCTTGTCCCCTTCCTCTTGTCACCTAAACAATGTAGTAATGTGAGGTGTATAATAGTTGAAAAATTGGCAATTAGTGAAATGAGTAAGAAATTAACCAAATGACAAAAACCTACAGTTGGTCGTGAAGATGGTAAGCCTCTTCATCCACTTATGCCTCTTCCTAAGCCTCTTCCCCTAACTGCACTTATCTTTGAAGATGGTAAACCTCTTCCTAAGCTAATATGTGAAGATGGTAAACCTCATTTTCACTGAACTCATAATCACTGTCTTTAATTTCTGAATCTGCATCTTCATCTTCATTTGGCAATTCTGCCCCTTCATTATCAATTGTCACATGTGCTCCTATATCTTCATTTGGTAATTCTGCCCCCTGCATCTTCATTTGGTACCTCTTTTACCGCATCTTCATTTGCCATTTTGTCCCAACATCCTCAAAAGTCTCATCATCTCTAACTTCAATATAATCCACCTCTTTCACTTGGTAATTCTGAGTCAAATCCCCATCACAATTCTCTGCATCTGCATCATACTCATAGTCTTCAACCTCACTATAGTATAACACAATAACCTTATTGGATGGTATGTGACCAACCATTTCAACCACTGTAGCATCTGATGTAACAAGCTCTAGTCCACCATCAGCATTTTTACACCTAATTTCCAAACGTTGCTCAACTTGAGAAATGTCAACATCATAACCAAGACCTCTCCCAATTTTCAGTAAATTTAACGAGGACAGAAAATCCTATATAATATTGTCCAAATAACAGACCTTACCCTTCTTATAAACCCCATTTTCAAACCAGCCCCCATGATGTAATTCTAGAGTGCACATTCCATTGGTAGCTGCAAAATTGAAACAACAATATGTTATTCTAAAGTCATAGTTCTGTTGTTAATGCTAATGACAACAAGGGCAACAATTACTGAGTTTGGTGTGAACCAGACAACTAAGGGACCACAGCCGTTTAAAAAAAACCCCATATTCAACATACAGGAACCACAACCAAGGGACCATAGACATAAAGCTTACACTCTGCAGTCAATGTAGCAAAAGCCAAATCCACATACAAGAAAACGATTCATTTACTCTTACGTTAAACATAAAACAACCAAAAAGCCAAACACAAACATAGAAAAAGGAATCTTTATAAAGAAACCACAGTTCCAGACAAGGACAACTCATCCATTTCATCCATTTCCAAACAAAAACAACATAAAATGCATTATAGAAGCCCTTACCGTATTTGGGAGTCTTTCCACCTGAATGGAATTCGAACTCCATTATCAGCAACTAGTGAATTTCCCAGAATCTCCAAAATCCCTAAAATCAAACCCTAACCCAAACTCCCAAATTCGAACTCCAAAACTAACACTGAAATTACACACTAACCTCACCAATTCAGAGACTCGCACACTACTACAGCATCGACCAATTTAGCAACTCGCATTAGAATCCCTTTCACTTGATGGTAATCGTGGGAAATGAGAGAGCTTCTCAAAAAGTGGAGGTATTTTGGAGGGATTTTGGTTCTGAACGATAGGGCTTCTCAAAAAGTCACATATACCCTTCAAAACTCAGTTACGTGGCCATCACATGATCAGAAGTGACAGAATCTGTCACGGATGGATCATCTTGGTACGAAATAAAAAGTTTAAGGACGTTTAAAATGAAAATTTTAGTTGGTGGACCAAAATGATACTGAGGCAATGGTTGGGAGACTATTTAGGTCATTAACCCAAAAAAAAAATTTTATCTACTTTTATATTGTACATTGAACAATTGCACATATTATTCATAATTAGGTACTTTAGTCTGGAATGCATCATACATAATCAAATTCTGCAGAATTATGTGACAAAATCATCGACATATTTTACATGACAAAATGACACAGAAATCGTTACAATTTGAAAAAATATGTGATGAATAAATTGTCACAATATGAAGAAGTACGTTGTAGTGTAGGGTTTTTCTATAACCCCCCACCATCCCAAGACGAAGACGGAAGATTCCTTGGTTTTTTTTTTTTTTTTTTTTTTTGTTCAATCAATCGTGGAGTCTTCCATGGGAAAAGAAGATGGTAATTGTTTTGGTTTTTTATTTTTTATTAAGTTATTTGGTTGTTTCTTCAGTTTTTCCGTGTTTTACAAATTAAATCTGCATTCAATGGAAATTGGGTTTTTCTAATCAAACTCAGCTTCAAATTTCTTTTTTTCGAAGCAAAAATGTTAATTAGGGCTAGGTCTTTTTTTTTTTTCCCCCTTAAATAATTGGGACATTTTGGAAAAAGCAAAAGGAGAGAGAAAAATTTTAAAAGAAGCAAAAATGGACAAAAATGCCCTTATTTATTTTTAGATTTCCTAAGGAATCCAATACATTTGCATGTCTTTGATTTGAAAGTTGAGTGATTTTTTTGTCTTTTTTGAAAAAGTTTTGGCTTTTTCCAAAAGTGAAATTTTTTTTATGTGTAAAACCTAAAAAACCTTAAATAATTAAAGCTTTTAGTTGACTTAGAAGCACCGAAGTAATATTTAAAACCCAGAATCATGTTTGCAATTGTAAAATGTATACTCCATTTACAATATTATTTAGCCCATGTTGGCTAGTGTAGGATTTTTCTGCATTTTAGGCTCTATCTTCGGGCTTAAATGTGAAGCTCCCTAACAAAAATGGGAACCTCGTGAATCTGTACAAATATCCCATGAATGTATACAAATATCTCAGCGTATAAACAGTAGTGCTTAGATAGAAGGAGGAAAAACAAAAAAAACAACAAACCATGTATATCAAAATCGAAAAAATGTACAAAAATCTCATTGATCACCCAAAATCTCAGTGATGACTCTTCTACAAACCAATCAGTCTCGTCTCCCAGCCAAGGGCGCAACCTCAGCAAGCGGAGTAGCGATCGGTGTCGGGGCGGGGGAGTTCCGACAAATCGGGCACGTGGGGCGCAGCCTCAACCAAGGGTCGACGCAAGTGAGATGAAAAAGATGACCACAATCAGGCAGCAGCCTTAAAACATCTGTGTCTTTGTAATCACCCAAACATATAGAACAACTCGTAGTCGTTGACGTTGACTCACTTTTATGGAGCTTCGCTTGGGAGTAGAGCAGCTGAGGGAAGTTGCGTAGAGCGGAGTCGTCAAGACCCAACTGGACACCACCAGCTGCAGCGCCGTCGTTTTGGAGTTGCAGCTGCCTGATGGCGCTTGACGATCTTCGAAACGACGGGTAGTTTGGAGGGAAACGCATGCGAGTGCAGAAGTAGGAGAGGAGGGTTACGATGATTATTAAGACCAAGACGCCGACGGAAACTCCTATGCCGTACGCGAATCCGCCGGCGTTGCCGTCTGTCTCATCGCCACTGTAACTCATGGTGGTGGAGTTGTCCATCGCCTTATTCTTCTCCTCTCTTTTTTGTTGTTAATTTTAATTTGATTTCTGCGTTTGAAAGTTGAAAATTGTGAGATTAATTAGCGTGGAGAAAGGGATGGAAGAGAGGGAGAGACGTTTTTATATATGGTGGCTGGTGAAGGTGATGTTATGCAGATTGTCAACGGTTTTTGTCATTTTCGATACGAAGTTTCTACCTACATCATCCCCTATTCAACCAAACTTTTTTTTTTATAATTTTTTTAGCAGCCATTCAACCAATTTCAGTGGACAGTTTTTTGAATTGGATTATTATTTATAATTTCTGATAATATAATATGGTTAAAGAGATAAATGTGCTGTTCCAATCCAACTAGGGTTTGGTGTGTGTTAGTTAATTTCTCAATTGGTACAAAGGGAATATGTACATATATACCAACAAACAGCACCGGCTCTGGCAGTTTCCTTTCATATCTTTTCTTCCTTTTTTTTACGTACGTGCATTTTAAACTTGCATACTGAGGTAGGCTGAGAGGGTGGTCGATACTATGGATTTTTGTACAGTGCTCCGTTGCCTATAGTTCAAAGGGAATTTCGAAAAGAAAAAAAAAAATCAGTTCAAAGGGAATATTGAATTTTTGAAATTGGAGACTTTACAAAATTAAATTCAATATGGTCATGGCCAAGTGGAGGTCATCGGTTAAGGACTTAAGTTGGGCAAGACTTCACTTGCAATGCTCGTGGGTGCAACGGCCAAGTTCTTGGTCGTTTTCATTTCCAATGCTAGAGTGTCGGTCTTATTGATGCAAATTTTGAACTAGGTTCGAACTCTAGTGACTCCTCTGCGACCGTGAATTACTGTTGAACTCATACCGTACTAAGTCAAATAACTCAAAAGACTCGTATTAATTACTTACCTGAAAAATAATGCGAAATAATTGGACATACGAATGTACACTAGGCTAAAGTTGAGCAAAATCGCTTTATACTGTACATTATTAGTTTTTGGATCCAAAGTCATCCCTCAGTTTGGCCTAACAACAACCACACCACAAATAAATAGGAGCATATTAGTGCGAGGAATGACTTTTGAATATAAGATTGTGCATTTGAATGGCTCTCCAATAACATTTGTATATTGAATGAGAGTATTACATACGAAAAAAGAAAAAAGAGACAAGAATTATAGAGTTCACCTAATTTGGGGCCCTTTCATTGCTTCAGATTTTCCCCACCATTTCAATTTTACGTGTGGTATTTTCAAGATTTATATGCCTACAAGATATGTAAATATGTAGAATAGTGGTCAGTCTGACGCGCGGTGCACTGCTATTTCCGAATATTTTAGGCCTTCCGCTATTATTTCTTAACAAAAATAAACTTTTATGGTAGTGGGACAATATAGAGGCAGTAGCTACCCATCGTCTTGTGGATTTAGAAAGATGCACATGATTTTGTACAATCAGTTTTAACGACTCTTTGCTTTTAATCAAGCTGCTATACTTTGACATGCAAAGAATTTGTAATTCAAGTAGTAAAGGCTGCGTTCGGTATCATTTTCACTACCTGTTTTCCGTAATTCATTTCCTGTTTTTCGGAAAATACCTGTTCGGTGGAACGTTTTTGTTTTCCCTAAAAATATTTTCCAAAAACAAATCCAATTCATGAACAAAAGTTGAAAACGATACTATGTTGTTTTCGTTTTCAGTCCATACAATAATTCATTTTTTCCATCTCTCTTTCTCCAATCAACATCAATTCTTGTCTTTGAAATTCTCCATAGCTATTCTTCTTCTTCTAAAATCACTGAGATCTTGATTTACTTATCAAGCACTAGACCAAAAAAAAAAAATCAACCGAGGAGCACCACTGTGGAAACCCATCTCCCCCAATCCAGACCCATTGTCTAGTTTACCGCACCGGTACCTCCAAAGCACGATCACCACCAAAGCAATTGAAACCATAACTGCCACCCAATCGAACCACCACCAACCATTGACAAATGGAAACAGAGAGAGGATGGTTATGAAGAAAGAAGAAGAACAGGAAGAATCAAAGAGAGGAAGAAGAAAAGAAAAAATAAGAGAGGAAGAAGAAGAAAATAAAAAATAAAAAAGGGAGAAGAAGAAAAGAAAAAATTAAGAGAGGAAGAAGAAGAGAAAAGAGAGAAAAAGGAAGAAAGAAAGAAAAAAGAAATGGTCTGGGAAGGAAAAGAAGAAGAAAATAGGAAAATAAAAAGAAAAAGAGAAAAAAGAAGGGCACAGGCCTGGGAAGGAAGGAAAGGAAGAAAGAAAGAGAGAGAAAAAAATGAGATAAAGATAGTTTTAGTCTTTAAAAAAACATTAGAATTTTTTATTTGTTAAATTATACATTTTTTATTGTTTATAAAATTTTGCCTTTGAAGAATTAAAAAAAAACTGAAATTAGCAAAAATACACTTGAAAATAACTCACATATTATTATTTTCAAATTGTACTACCAGACACATTTTCATTATTTTTGTTTTCTGAAAATGTTTTCTAATTAATCTACCAGACGCATTTTCAATTCCTGAAAATGCAAATTCGTTTTCTTGTTTTCATTCTCTGAAAATATTTTCATAAAACACTCTCTGAAAACGTTATCAGACGGGCCCTAAGAGTCGTTATCTCCATATTCAAGGTTTTATGTTCGAATGCTCCCTCCTCCTAATATTATTTATATAAATAACAATTAAAAAGAATTGCTATATTTTGACTTTTCTTTTGGCCGGTTCAAGGCTACAAATGTTGAAATTACCTGTAGAAAGACTAATAATTAATGCTTAGAGGGGGTAAATAGGACAATTTAATATTATAATTAATCAACAAAAATAAACTTTAGTAGAATGATTGATATGGCTTATCAATCCTAAAACATGCAGAGCATAAAATAAAGGAACACACAGAGAATTATTTTACGTGGTAAAACCCCACCTCTGGGGAAAATCTATGAGACTCCTCAGTCCAAAACAAATCTACTATAGAACGATGATTACAAGAAGTACTCACATATTTATCCTAAACACATTTTAGAAAATGTTTACCGACTTCTTCGTAACTCAACTTCTGCCACAGGATGATCTTTCAACACTCCTAATGTCAAATGCATTATTGGTCACGATTGCTTCAAGCTCATTGGAAAAACCATCATCACGGTCTTGGTGCTCTCAACTATATGAGTCACCGAACTATGCAAATTAATGCAATATGAATGATAAACTGTTTGATAAATCACCAAATAAACATGAAACACTTGATGATTTATCTCAAATAAAGACGCATCTTTCTTAAACGTTTAAGCACACAAATTATTGTTAAAAAGATGTAGAAAAGGAAAAACACAAAACCTTGTTTTTATATCAGTTTTCTTCAAACTTGCGCTTAAACCATATCTCCATTCTTCAAGGCTAGACTAAAATCACGATAGAATATTTCCTATTCTAAATGCAAGTCATGTGTAAACCAACCATTTAGGAAAGGAGATGCTGAAGAAGGAAGATTTTGACCAATTACAATATCAAGGGAATCATTCTATGTTTAGGTCAACTATTAATAGCATCTTGACTCCTTGGTATTATGATGTAATTTAAAAAATGATTTCTAAGCAACCAAAACATGTTAGAAAACCAAGGGGGATGTTAAAACATGAAAGTAGAAGAATCAAATTGAACCCAAAAAAAAAAAAAAAAAATTTGATTTGGGCCAAAATTGCCTAAATGAGATGCACTCCTAATAGGATTCTAATTTATTAAAAAATAAGAAAATAAAATCATAATTGATGCCAAAAATGTTCATGTCATGTGTGCATGATAAATGGCATGTCTTACTCTTCAGGTCATGTGCCTTATACGTGTTAAGTCACAATATTGGTATTCGAGGATTGCTAAGAAATTTCTGGAAATCAGAGACATCAATTGTGCTTCAACCCTACAGATAAATGACACTTCCAAACCTATATTAAGTTCTAGGAAATGTCAACACAATTCCATACTAACAATCTCCTCCTTTAGCATTTCCTAGACAAAACACCCATTACAACTCAAAAGGAATTACATGAGATTTAACAAAAGAAATTCTACTCTAAACTCGAAGCTCTTTAAACCCTGCACAACATGAAACAATACAACCGGTGAAGTACGTGGGAGAAGAAATGTAATTCAAACAAAATTAAAACACAACTCCCCCTTAATTCCATAGCACTATCAATCCCCCTTTTTGTCAAAAAATCCAAAAGCAAGAAAAAACACAAGCATGGCAATATGTCAAGAGCATAGAACAAAGAGATAATGGTAACATGCATGGATAGGGAAAAAACATAAGAGAATGATATCACCAAAAGCCAGACAAATTAACCAATGATGCTCTTGAGGGATTGTGTCTTGTTGTAACTAAAGAGAGAGACACTCCATCAGGTCGAAGTGTTGGGGTGTCAGACACGTGAACATGCCTCGGACACGGTTTAGACACGGGTCAATGGTCAAGACACATTTTGGACATGGTCAATTGAAGTCAAGACACGATAGGGACCATTTTGAAAATTATAAAACTAAAACTTAGGTCAAAACAAAATTATTGAAAACTATGTGGACATATTTGAAATATTTTTAAACAAGGGGCTAAAAATGTAAACAATATTTTTTAAAGATGATAGATCATATACGAAAAATGTGGTGAAATTTGGTTTATGATAAATCATGAATATGTGTGGATAAATATGTGTATCATTCTTTATTTTGTTTAAGGAAAGATGAGTAATGCTAAGTTAACTCGAATGAGTATGAATTTGTTTTATGGTATTATGACGTTGAAGTATTGAGTATGAATTTTTTAAAAATATATATATAAGTATATACTATTGTAATTTTATTAGGATTTATTGTTATTTTAATTATCATGTCCTAGGTGTGTCTGTGTTCTAGTTTTTCGAGATTTTTCGTGTTGTTGTGCCGCGTTTCCTTGTCCCCATGTCCATGCAACATAAGAGGAAAGCAGGCATTGACGCTAACGAAAAAATAATAATTTTTTTTTTACCGTTGGCATGTGTGACATGCGTGGTCCCCGCGGGAATGTCACAATCCAAAGGTAAAAAAAAAATAAAAAATTCATGCGCTGACGCTAGCCTAGCATCACAACCCGCGATTAGGAGCTTAGGCTCATCTTGCCTTCGCCCTTCCGCGGGTTGGTGGAGCCCATCTCTTGCCCTAGCATAAATTGGGCACTGGAAATGGACTTTGAGGCCTACGAAGCCTTTTGCTTAGGCTAGGCTGCTGGGTTGGAAATGCACTTAGAGCATTTCCAACTCATTTGCTATGGCAAAAGACAAGGGTAAGGGCAAGGCAATGGCTATTACTATTCATGTGAATAGTCCCAACTGTTGCAAAAGGCTTGTTGTGTTTTCACCCATTGCCATGGAAACCCAAGGGATACAACTATTCACACGAGACATGAGGAGATGAATTTATGTAGAGTTTTGGTTTAGAAAGTGAAGAATATGGCTAGGTATTTATTTAAAAAAATTCTGAAAATTTTGGTATTTTTTAAGAAATTTTTTTTTTGTTACTTTTTTTTTTTTTTTTCCATTGTTGCCTAGGCATTAGCTTGGGCTCGTTTTGCCTTTGGGCTTGCTCGAGCTGTGGAAGCCTGCTAAATGCCGCAAACTGGGCTAAGGTCGCCCTTGTGCTAGAAATGCTCTTAGAGAGAAGGTTGCTCCTCTTATTTAGTATCCTACTAGCCTCTATGCATGCGTTTCCGAGCCTACGAGACATTTTTTTTTAATTTTAAATTTATTTTAGAATTCAAAAATATAATAGATAGTTGTGTACCATAAAAATAAGATATATTATCTGATTTTTTCTTTAATTTTTAATTTTTTTAATATGAAAAAAATGTGAATTTACCATATTATCCTCATTTAATTAATAATTTCAATTCTTAATTTTTGGATCTACCAAAGATATTTTCTGGTATTTTGAATATTTTACAATTCTTTGCCTTTTGCTTTATATATACTAGACCCTTGGTACATGCTCACGCATGTGCCAATTGGTTTTATTTTTTATTTTTTATTTTATTTTTAGAATTAAGAAAAGATAATATGGGTAGTTATGTTCCATAAAAGTATGACATATTATCTGATTTTGTTTTTAATTTAAATTTTTTAATATGAAAAAATGTGAATTTATCATATTATGCTTATTTAATTAATAATTTTAATTCTTAATATTTGAATTAACTAAGGGCATTTTCTAGTATTTTGAATGTTTTATCATTCTTTACCTCACGCTTTATATATATAGATATATATATATATATATATAAGTATCTCTCAAAAAAATATCCCAAGTATATATGAAATATTTCACAAAATAAAAAAAATAGAAAAAGAAAAAAAAACATTCTAGATCCTTCCTTTTTTCTTTTCTCCTTTTTTGGGTCTGAATTCTAGATCCTTCCTCCACCCGCATCCACACGTACATGATAAATTGGGTCTCAATGCCAATACTAACCCTTAGCTACCACGCTCTCTAACAATCAATCCCAGCCGTCCATTCCCTCACTTTAAAACTCAGATCTGACCAAAACTTGCTCCTCTCTCTCTCGCCGTTTCTCTTGCTCTTCTCTGCTCCCTTCACGCGACCTCTTCAATTAATCGGATCTTGCTATCCGTACGACCCAAGATCGGTTAGCTTTCTATCTTTCTTTCTCTGCATCGATTTATTTTGTTTGTTTTTTGAAATTTAATGGTTTTTTTTTTTGTTTGTATTTTTTGAATTTATGAACAGATTAAGTTGTTTAAGAGAGAATGTTTGGGAGAGCTCCAAAGAAAAGCGATAACACGAAGTACTATGAGATCCTTGGAGTGTCGAAGACCGCTTCGCAAGATGATCTAAAGAAGGCTTACAGAAAAGCCGCCATCAAAAACCATCCTGATAAGGGCGGTGATCCTGAAAAGGTTTTACTTTGTTTTAGCTCTGTTATGTTTTGGTTGGTTACTGATTTATCAGTTTGTTGGTGTGAGTTTCTTGATGGAGTTGACGGGTATTTGCTTGGTCAAACTACGCCAGATCTAGCATGTTTTTGAGCTTTGAGCTTTAGAGTGTTTGGGATTTCTGTTCTTTTTTTTTAATGACAAATTATTTGAGCTTTGAATATAGTTGGTGGTGAATTTTGTTGTAAATTTATTGAAAATTGTTGTGTAATAAAATCATCTGAATACTAAGAAAAAAAAGAGAGTACTGAATTGTTTTAAATAATTCTGACTGTGTCACTATTGATAATTTCAGTATATTGCAAATAATTCTGAGGTAACATGAATACCTATTTTTTCATGGTGAAACAATTGATGGATTGGGTTTTCTGAAGTTTTCCTCGCGGGTGCGTCTTTAGACAGTTGGGCATATGTGCGTCTGTAAACAGTTGTTTATGTGGGTTTCTGGAGACTTAGGGCACCTGGTTGTATTCCAAAGCCGAGGAGGTGGCTGTGCTAGTATTTAATTGTCAGAAACATATAAATTTGATGGTAATTTCTTAATTTATCGATTTCTAACCTTTTCCATTTCTTTTCATAATTTAGTTTAAAGAGTTGGCCCAAGCATACGAGGTTCTGAGTGACCCAGAGAAACGAGAGATCTATGACCAATATGGCGAGGACGCGCTCAAAGAAGGGATGGGTGGCGGAGGTGGTGGACACGACCCATTTGATATTTTCCAATCCTTCTTTGGTGGAAGCCCTTTTGGTGGTGAGTCCTTTTCTCTGTTTCGATTTCAGCTGTTTGTAATTGTATGAATTGGAACTCAGTATTTTGATCCTATGTACCCAGGTGGTGGAAGCAGCAGAGGCCGAAGGCAGAGAAGGGGAGAGGATGTGATCCATCCCCTCAAGGTTTCTTTGGAAGATCTCTACAATGGGACATCCAAGAAGCTTTCTCTCTCTCGCAACATAATCTGCTCCAAGTGCAGGGGGTTAGTATTTAATATCTAAAATTGTATGTTGTCAGCAATTTATTTTAGTAGTTCATGGTTCTGATATGGAGATTTTATATGACATGATGCAGTAAAGGGTCAAAGTCAGGTGCTTCTTTGAAATGTCCTGGATGCCAAGGTTCTGGAATGAAAGTCTCTATTAGACACCTCGGCCCCTCCATGATCCAGCAAATGCAGCATCCTTGCAATGAGTGCAAGGGTACTGGGGAGACCATTAATGACAAGGATCGCTGCACACAATGTAAGGGTGAGAAGGTTGTTCAGGAAAAGAAAGTCTTGGAAGTCATTGTGGAGAAGGGTATGCAAAATGGTCAGAGGATCACATTCCCTGGCGAAGCTGATGAAGCGGTAGGTCTCCTTCCTTTCATTTGATTGTGTTTGAAATTCTAAATTTTTATTTTAATCTTTTGAGGATTTTTTATTTGGTACTTCTATACTTCAGTTCTCTAGGGTATTGTCATTGATCCTTGCATGTTGTGTTTTTTTTTTTTTAATTCTGCAGCCTGACACCATCACAGGGGATATCGTTTTTGTCCTACAACAAAAAGAGCACCCAAAGTTTAAGCGAAAGGGTGATGACCTGTTCTTTGAGCATACCTTATCCCTCGTGGAATCACTCTGTGGCTTCCACTTTGTATTGACACATTTAGATGGAAGACAGCTCCTCATCAAATCCCAACCTGGTGAAGTTGTTAAGCCAGGTAATCACCTTACTGTACTCATTCTGAATAGTTGCCTTGCCTTGTACTTGTGCATCTGGTTTACTGCTGATATGAATGATTGGCAAACTCATTCTCCTCAGATTTTATCTGTACTACCTTTCTTAGGGGTAGGTTGAAATAAATGGATGGGCCATATTGACCTGGACCAATGAAGATTGATTTGAATTGGCATTTTATGGGTTATGCGTAATACTATATCTGTCATGTGCATATGTACTTAGTATATTTCAGAAGGAAAATTATCTGTTTAAGCGAAAAAGGAGAGAAATGATACACTGGTTCTTGAAATTGGGTTCTAGAAGACCTGACAGATGACATACTGCTTGTGATTGTGGATTCATATAAAATAAATGTCTCTTACTTTCTCTCTCCCTCTTCTTCAATGTCAGCTGGACTTAGGCGACTAGATTTAGCCCGCTTTCTGGTAAAAGAAACAATTGAGCCTAAATATTAGACTCATTAGAAAACTTGTGGGGGTGGTATCATGCGCTACAGACCAAAATGACAGTAGTTATGTGTTTGTAATTGTCTCTTTCCTAATTGCTTATAGCCAAGCTTTCAGTTCTCTATTTCTTGAGCCTGGAATAATTATTTCAGTTCTCACAGGACTTTTATGTTACTTCTAGACCATCCTAGATTCTTGATGCTGCATGTCTTGTAACGAGGCGTATTAGTGAATAGTTTTCTTTGAGGTGTGTGTACTTAGTAATTTTCCATGCAGTTATACAATTCACAATTATGAAATTCATGTTGTGCATTGGTTATTTATTTTCTTTAGCTTGTAGTGCTATGTGGTTTGAGAATTCTAGGTTTTCATGGTAATATTCGTCGCTTGAGAATTTGTGTCACCAATTTTATTTATTTTTATTTCTTTTGGTGTCTATCAGATCAATTCAAGGCTATAAATGATGAGGGTATGCCAATGTACCAGAGACCATTCATGAAAGGTAAATTGTATATTCATTTCACAGTGGAGTTCCCGGACTCACTAAACCCAGAACAGTGCAAGGGCCTGGAGGCTGTGCTACCTCCCAGGTCTTCTGCACAGCTTACGGACATGGAGCTGGATGAGTGCGAGGAGACTACGCTGCATGATGTGAACATTGAGGAGGAAATGCGTCGAAAGCAAGCACAGGCGCAAGAGGCTTATGATGAGGATGACGATATGCATGGTGGTGCCCAGAGGGTTCAATGCGCGCAGCAATGATTAGATAGGCTTATGAGATTATTTGAGAAAATAAAAGTTCTCAACATTGTGGTCTGTTGTAGTTTATTAGTGTTTATTTCCGGTTTGGTTTGTGAATCCGTGACTTTCGGGGATTTGGAAGTTAAGCAATAGCTATATTAAGGACATGCTTATTCTACGTCATGTGGATGGTTACTTATATATACATAATTATAATTGTTGTTTATTCCTATTGCTGGTAAGAATTTTTTATCTGTGTATTTTTTTTGGGTCCGAAAATTGCTGTTCTACACAACTGAGGATACGAAACCCACCTGCCTCCCAATGTCGCCACTAATCCCCCGCACCACCACCTCTCTGCAATCCGTCTCAAACTGGACATTCCAGTATTTTGCGTATTGACGAAGTCTTGCCAGTTGCCACCAAATTGAGATCACTCCCAGCAGATTTTTTCACAATTTTTATTTGATTGTTCTCTTTTATTGTCAGAATTTATTATATAAAATATGGAATAGTCTTTTAGAATTTCGATTTTAGTTTTAAACGATTGACCAAATTTGAACTACAAGAATTAAATTTAAGATAAAAAAATATGATTTTTTCTATTTAAACCCCATACTTCTCTTAGTTCACCCAAATACTTAAATCATTAAGCTGTAAATTTTATTATTGTGTAAAAAACACAAAAAAAGTCATTCAACTTAATACTTAACCCTAATATATCTATACACACACCCCACAACTCTTCAAATTAAGTTTTAAAAAAAATACAAACTCTTCTACATCCTATGCCAGATTAATTTTCTCTTTTAAAGACGTAGAACATTGACGAGCCTACCTCTTTGAAATATGTGCGGAAGCTGATGGAAAGACTTGTTGATTGTTTCGCTATAATGATCTTATTCTCTTCCCTTCGTTGATTGCTTTTTTTTTTTTTTTTTTTTTTTTTGCCTCTTGTGTGT